CCCCCCCCCCCCCCCCCTCTCTCTCTCTCTCTCTCTCTCTATATATATATATATATATATATTTATTTAAAATTAATTTACCATGAAAAAAATCAAATTCCCATATCCAAATTAAAAATTAAAAATTTAAGTAATTTAAATTGACTTATTCAGGTAAAATATTTAAATAATGATGAAAATTAAAATCATACTTCCTCCCAACTTTTAAAACAACTTAATTCACTTCTAGCATTTGTGTATCACAACTTAGATAGGTATCTCAACCACATGTCTACAACTTGATCACTTTATACAACATGCAACTTTACAACTTTCCACTTTCATCAAATTAACCAACAATATACAACTCAACATCAATAGTATTTATCATCAATTATTATCATTTAATATCATCTAAATATCAAAAATTCATCATATAACAATTTAGGACATCATATATTACCATATGCTATAAGGGAGTTAACACATCATTTTCAACATGTAATCATCAATTAACATACAACGAAAACTTCCACATAACACAACATAATTGGAGTTCTACTACTTCAATCAAACTCATATTTATCTCATATGAAAGTTAAAAATGTTATCTACAACTCTTATGAAGACTTCAAGTTCTAACTCCATCATATACTATACTAAAAATTACAAAATTCACAACCATTTGCTAAATTGTTGACAACTTGACCTTTTTTCACTAAAGGTCATAATTGGAGTTCTAAATCTCTTTTTTAAGTGATTCCAAAGTCATTGGAAATTTAACATATAGGACTACAACTTTTATGAAGACAATAAAGCCTAATTTAGAAGGTAACTAATCCGCTAAACGCATTCAAATCCACTTAGTGAATTTTGAATCAGGTAGCTTTGACCTCAAATCAACTCAACCCTTTAAAATCTGCTCAGCCCTTTGTCTCTAAAGACACCCCTGATTCGAGTCCCCAAATTCGCTCAGCCGTTTATAAACCACTCAACTGTTTCATGACATAGATTATCATTGGGTTTTTTCTTTCCGCAATTTTGGGGTTTACAAAGCTTTCCATTTCATCCTAAGCTTCCTACAAGTTCCAGTCTTACATCTAAACCATAATAACTCATCTAATTAACCAGAATACATAAAAAATAACTGAAGATCAACACAAAAAAGATATGCAACCATAGATTTCAACACTCATCAAACCCCTTCTATGGGTATTACAAGAACCAAATCAACTTCCTCCAAAACTCACGACTCAACCATCACAATTCCAACAACACAACTTAAAAATTAAGGGTTTGAAAGAATCATCAAATCAAATTCACAAAACATAACCAAGGCAAGATTCCCTGATCTTTTTGGGGAGTCAGAATTTTCCAAGAAGAGAAGAGAAGAGGAAGAAGCTCTACTTGCTCTGTATGATTTTGAAGACAAACTGCAACTCAACAATTGAGACTTTTCCCACTGTTCTGGCCAACTAAAGAAAGGAAGGAGAAGTAGAAGAGAATTCTCAACCTAGAAAGAAAAATTTGATCTCACTTTCCAAAAACAACTCTATGAAAAAAGTGTTACACACCCAACTACAAATATGGATAACAATCCAAAATCTACATTTTATAATTCATCTTAAGACCTCAAAATTAATGAAAAAATCCTTTGATAGCAATATCAAAACGAGTTAGAATTAGAAGAAATCTAAATTAAACTTTTAAATAATTTCTAAACTCAAATACATATTCATTTAACAAATAGAATGTTAGATTAAAATATTAAAAAGACCATATAAAAAAAAAAAAACTTATCAAAAAAAAATATCGAAGGGATTACTGCACTAATTTGAATAATTGGCATTTAAGTTTTAAGTTTAAATCTTATTATTATTATTATATGCTAGTTTGAATAATTTGTATTAAATTTTAAATTTAAATCTTTTTGTTATTATAAAAAAAATATTGAAGGGATTACAAGTTGTCTAAGAAACAATTATGGATTTAGCATATGTATAAATCTAGAGAAAGAGAAAACACATTAAAGGAATGGATAAAGTAAGAAGTATTTAAAAAAAAATTAAAAGAGACAGTACACTCATAATTAATTATTATAAAATTAATTTTCTATAAAATAAAATATAAAATTAATTATAATATTAATTGTTGATTTTCTTTAATGAATGATTGTTATTTCTCTTTATCTTTTAAAAGAATAATTTTTTTTCACTTTAGACAACAGAGTCCAAATGAACACATTCCAGAAGTGTGTATATCTTATAAATTATTATCTTCTATAATTAGAAACAGATTTACTATTTATTTTACAAATAATATTAAAATAAAAATAAAAGATTAATTATTTTATAAATAAAGTAATATCCGTTTCACAAAGAAAATGTTACAAAAATATTAGAAGACGCATTAAAAATTAGCTTATCAAATACATATTTTAATGATATGACAATGGAATACATGGACGTGAACTTTCATCAAACTCTTAAAAAATTAAAAGAAACTATATTGGTTTGTGTTGGCAAAAGTTTTTACAGAAATTTCCAAATCCAAAAGTCAAAGGAAGTTACGTTAATTTGTGCAAGTAAAGAAAAAAAAAACATTGTGATTATTTATATGTGAATTATTGCGTTTTCACATTTTCAATTTTGTAATTTCATTTTCTCTAAAGATCTAGAAAATGATATTTCATTTTCAACTTCGGATTGTTTTTGAAAATGTTTGTAAAGAAAACATTTTCTAAAATAAAAACTAAACTATTTTCACTCCAATTTTTCATTTTTAATGAAAAGGAAAATAGAAGACAAACATATTAATGGGACTCTTGAGTTGAGAGTGTCATATTTTCATGTTTATTTAGAATTTGAAAAAATATTTTTAGATATATTATCAAGAAAATAGTCATAATATAAATTATTTTTATTTTAATTCATATGTTTAAGGATGGGAGAATTGTATTCTCATAAAAATATGAAAACTTATATTTTAATCCACTTATTTAACTTATTTTTTATTTTAATTAATTTAAAAATATTTTCATTAATGTTAAAATTTCACCAAATACATTTTTAAATATTTTCAAAAATAACATTCTAATAATAATATTTTTAAGAATGTAATTCTCATAAAAATAATAATATACATTAAAATAAATATTTTTTAACTTTTGTAATATACATGATTAATATGATGGATAACATAATCTATCATGTATAATCGATTATGCATGTATATAATATAATCATAATTGATTATGTTAAATAATATAATTAATTATAAATATGTAATTTTTATTTTGAATAAATAATAATAATAATAACAATACTTTTATTAATTAGTTTTTAAAATAAATAATTTCTTTAAAATTCACTTCTATTCACTTATACTTTTCTACTATTAAATAACCTTATGTTTACTCTATTTTTTTTATAAAAAAAAAAAATCTATTCTCCACTTGCACTGAGTATGCAAATTGCAAAGACCGTACTGCCGTACTGAGTTTCAGTTTTCTTAATTTTTTAACCAAAAATAATGCAAAATTTAGATATAATAATAGTATCGTCACCAAATTTTTATACTCGTACAATAAACCGATATGCATTTTTATACTAATTATGTAATTTTATTAATTGAATAATCTTTTTTTACAGCATTAATTTAATTTTTTAAAAATATTATATATTTAAAACATTATAATTTAGTTTTAAAAAGCTAAGTTATTTATTTAATTCCCTAAAAATTACATAATAGTAATTTATTTTTAATTTTTATTACATTAAATATTTTTTTAAAATGATTTATTTGATCTTTTAATATTTAAGAGAAATAGTTAATATCATAAAATATTAGAAAATCGTTTCAGTGTTAAAAAAATCGTTAATAAACTAAATTAAATTTTTTTTTATCTATTTCTCTCTTTCTTATTTTCATTTACTCTGTTTCTTTCTTCTCTTTCAAACAAACATCTTCAACCTAAATCCTGGTTTGTGAATTCCAAATCCAAGATCAAGATCAACCATGCCTATAATAATAAATTAAGTTTGATTTAAAAAAAAAAAAAAAGGGCAGATCCACGGTGGTTGTTTAGCTGAGTTCATTTTGTCTTTTCAAATTTTATTGCGTTCTCTTTATTTTCCATTATCAGCTTTGATTTGCTACTTTTTCCTTCTATCACTGTCAAGAAATTTT